GCAGACAGTAAAGCCTCTAATGCTACTGGAGAGGTAACAAACCCAGCCCCCTTTCTCAGCAACCTTGCCACATAATCTGGATTTCAGCACCAAACGTCGTTCCCTGGCATGTTAACTCTCTGCAGCATCTGTCACTGCTATGAATGGTTGATCATAAGTACCTCTGTAGTCATCTCAATGCCATTAAGCAGATGGCAGTGCTAAATCCGAATGATGTAGTACATCTCCCTGGTGGACTTTGTTTCCATACACCACCATTATTCTACAATTCCTCAGTGATAAATCTTATGTATTCTAGAGAACATTAAACAGTGAGCTGACAGTGACAATTGATTTATTAGCATCCATTTCCCTTTGCCATATTATTGTCCTCGCAAACACTTGTGCAGATCATGTATGGAGTCACTAAGGGACCAAAAGCACTTTGGCTCAATTTGAAGCCTATTTTGGAGATTTAAAATAACTAGATTTTTTTTCATGCTGAAAATGTTTAAACTACAGTTTTAAATGAAGATTCAACTAAATCCTCTTAATTCCTCCACAATACTATTAGGTGAATTTTCGTAATGAAATTGGTCTGGCATTAACACTAGGCTGTTAAAGCACCCATTGTTTTCTGCAATAAATGCAAGTAAATAGTTAAAATGCTAGACAGGCTTGGGAAGTCCTTTAAGACTGAGCTAAGTTGTATAAGGATGCATACATGCTGGTGACAAGTCTACATGCGTCTCACATAGGCAAATATCAGCACCAGGAGTCACGAGTTTGGCTTTCACAATTACAATTCATATTTTACCATAAGATCCTAAAAAGGATTTTGGCACACAACTGCACACGTGAAATACATACATATGTATATAGAAGAAATTTTATGAAGGAATTCCTGACTACATAACATTGCCCTGACTGCATATCATGTAATCCTAAAGCCTAATTGAATATCATGGCATGAAGTGATAGGATAAGAGGATATGGCTTCAAACTAAAAGAGGAGAGATTTAGATTAGATATTAGAAAGAAATTCTTTACTGTGGGGGTGGTAAGACACTGGCAGAGGCTGCCTGGAGAATATGTGAATGCTGTGTCCCAGGAAGTGCTCCAGGCCAGGTTGGATGGAGCAACCTGGTCTCCTGGTAGTTGTTCCTGCCCATGGAAGGAATGGAATTGAATGATCCTTGAGGTCCTTTCTTACCCAAACTATTCCATGATTTTATGAAGCATTTGCTACTCTCTGATATTCAGAAATTGCAAAATATTTTTTAAATTTTAGATTGTTTTGGTTTTTTAAAACAGAAGTAAACAATCCAGTTGATTAAACATCCCAGTTTATACTCACAAAATTATCTAACAATCCCACTGCAAAAAACTATACAAGTAATTTAATCTTCTAAAAATCAATTAGGTATCCAGTAAAGCACAATACAGCTTCAAGGGATATTTTAAGTCTTTCCAACCATAAAAAATAATTCTGTTAAAGGACATCCTGAAGCACTATTTGGGGCTTTGTTGCTTGAACAGGCAGCAGTGGATAATAAAATGTTCTAAAGGAAAACAACATTTTTTTATAGGATTACAGGGCATTAAGATAGATGAAAACTCAGGAAACTCTCATGTTTCTCTGTCTGTTAGTGCTGTGGCAGGTTTTAACTCAAACTTCAGATTGCCAGGCACAAGGAAGGATACAGTCTCACACAATGTCAAATGAAATCCCATTAAACTTCTAACTGCTAACACATATCAGCTAGCAATTAGTACACAGAATGGAGTCATTTCTTTACAGAATAAGCAAAGTCTCAACTACCTTAATGCACACAGAACTACAGAGTTTCCTATTTTTCATATCTGAACATGTCACTCATCCTAATCCAACTCAGATTTGGCCATTTCTGGGACATACATTTGAAATGTCCAGATTGGAAGAGCAATAAAGGAGAGTCAAACTGTGTTGTGAAAATCGAAGATCTGCTGTCATGCAACCTCTTTGAGATCTCCAAAATTCCTAAAGATATTTCAGATTCTATTGCAAGTTTCTGTCTTTAACAGAGGAATAACTAAATAAGCAAAATGTTTAAAACAAAAATGAAAACTTTTAACTGTTTCCACCATATCACGCATTATACAATTGGGAGCATTAAGCCCTGTTCCTGCACTCAAATTTAGTCATATACTAAAAACTACTGCAAATAACTTAATGAGACAATTAATTTTCAGTTGACTACCTGTTTCTCTCACTTCCTCTTTAACACACAGTATTGCTAATGTCACAGTATTTCTAGAGAAATCAGTATCAGAAGACATACTAGAAATACTTCAAGATTACTCTTTTCAATTTAGTAAAGGAAAGAATAAGTTATTTCCACATGCTGGTCACCAAATGACGCATTTTAAACACATCACTGCTCTCCATGTACAAATGCAGTTTCTTTCCATGCTTTATAAGGGCAAAAAAATCAAGAATAAATAAAGGTAAACTATGAAAACAATGGACTTTTCCCTACTTTCCTCCATAGTAAGGGCATTGTAACGCACCTAAATATGGTATCTCACTGTGGTTATAGAATATTTTGCAATATGGGCTATTACTTGACATTCACATCAAAGACAGGAATGCTGGACTAGGTAGCTCAGATGGCTGTTTACAGTTATTACTTTTTGCTTGCCAATAGTATACTAAAAAATTTTTCTGCCAAGCCAGAAAATATGTCAGAAAATGAGTGTTGATATCCTCTGAGAAACATGCAAGTGAATAATTTGTTTTCTTTTACCACAGGGCACTAAAAGTCAAGTAATCATAAAGAAGGTTAACAAATTCGTTAAAATCTAGCAATATATGTTTTGTGAAACTACAGGTAAAATACAAAGTAAAGCAATCATTTTATGAAATACCTCCTTCTAGACAGCTAAGCATGTGCACATGTACCTAAGAATGTTATACATATTCTTATATATTAATCATTTGCAAGAGCAATTTCATTCCTTGGGAGAATTACTTTTTTTCTAATTTTAGTTCAAAGGAGAAAAATCTCAGTAAAAACCTTCTTAATGCAGAAAAAAAAATCAAAGTAATGTTTAATTTTGGCTCAGGGAAATGACTTTGTAATGAAGTCCAAATGTTTGTGTGCAATAAACACATTTACTAACAGTACAAGCAGAAAGGCAGAACAGAACTGCCAACAAAAAAGTTGAGGAGTACTTTGGCAATTGTCTTTTGGGAAAAAAAAATAAATCCATTACCAGCAACTGTTCTTGAAATGTAACACTCTATAGAGTTTCAAATTTTGAAGGTTCTACACTACAGATTTCTTAAGTCACATTTTTATCAAGCTTAGAGTCTGCAGGAGCCAAGTATGAGGCACAAAGGTAATTTCATTATTTTAGTTCTCAACAATAATGACACTTGAACTTTCCACTATGCTTTTTCACAATGACTAAGTTGTTGAGCACAGAAAAATATTCATTTACACAACAAAACTGAAGCTGTGTGTGACAATGCTACAGCAGAGCAGATGCCAGGTGCAAACAGTTTTGTTCTCAACTTTGCTGTAAACAGATCTGCACTATTTCAGATAAAGCTGCATTGTAAAGCTTACATATACTTGGCAGAAGGTAGAACAAATAGGTCTCAAATACACTCTTCAGTTTAATTCACCACAAGGGATTTATTAACCTTTAGGAACCTCAGTAACCCTACCTCAGAGGCAGGTCATAACTTTATCATAAAATTTTGGGACATTTTAAAAAACATTAAAACACCTACTATTGACCAAATTATGAATGCTTGGTCTGAGAGAAAAAGAATGAAAATAAATTACAATTCAGTAAAAGGTGGACAGAAGTTCTGTTTCCAGACAGGCACACTGGAAATACTCAGAAGTGGAGATTATCATCCAAACTGCTACATTTGTAATGGGATTTTTGCCATGAAGTTCAAACCACATAAAGGAAGTATTTTGTACTTCACAGCATGTTTCCCATGGACGGGTCAGATTGCTACCCATGGAGTTGCTAAATATTGTCTGACTCCTTTGAAGAAAGCAAAACAGAAAGCAAAATTTAAGAAAAAATAAATAGAAAGTGCTTAAAAATACTGCTGAAAATGAAGTGGGAGAAGGTAAACAAATGGCAAGAGATTCAAATTTACAAGAAGTTCCACATAGGGTTAAAACAAACTGGCAGGTGTATTTTTCCTACAGCCAAATGTTGAAATGGGCAGTGGGGTAGCCCCACTGGCTCACTCAGCCTTAGGCCATGGGAAACTTCTTATTAGGTTGTGGTGAGAAGAATGGTATCACAGGAATTGTTATGTAGATAAAGTTATTTCACATATGGTTATGCTTCTAGAATGTTCTCAATTCTCCCTCTGATTGGTTGCTGTTTGCCTTATTATTTTGCATATTCCTAATCTCAGATCGTGATTGGTTCTCTGCCCTCAGATGTTCCACATATATTGTTGTGTCTGCCCAACCTCCTGGTACCCCATATGTGGTGCAGCTTCACTCATTTGTTGTTTTACTGTTATTGAAAGTTATTTTCCAAGAGTCTCAATCATTCCTATCTCAATTATTTTTATTTGCCACTCACCCCTGACCAATCTGCTCCCGGGGTTGTGCAACAGTCAAATACAGGTAAAATACTAAAATATAACTTTATAAAAGTAGTAAGAAAATTTCATCAATTGTGTTTCAGAAAATTTAATACCTTCTGCAAAGTTGTCTTTTTTCTCCTCTCCCCTCCTTACGCAATCCTCCCTCCCACAATGAATCCGAAAATTTCCCTGAATTTCCTAAACCTTTGAAAATTTTGAATTAGGATTTGGCATCACTAAAACTGTTACAAGTTGTCAGTTCTGTTTCTTTTCAGCCACTGTGAAATTTATACTTATGCGATAGTAAAAACATAAAATTTTTGCTGTTAAAGATGGAATTGAAAAACACTAAGTAAAACTAACTGGTCAACCACCGAATTTTTCAAACATAGTTGAAGTTGATTTGGAGGCTTACCTTTGTGCTTGAGTGCTATAGCTGTTATCATAGGAATCATAGCTTTGTTCATCATAAGCAGCTCCATAGCCATCATCATACTCCTGAAATGATGCAAAAGATGTAAATATTAACTTTAATCACCCTCCAGAAACAGAGCAGTAACCTAATTCTTCTAAGTGTGAAAGACAACACTCTCCTGAAATGCGTGTATACACGTACACCATGAAGTGGCAAAATCTTAATATTGAGACTACTTCTATCAATAAATCTTAGACCATGATTTCTTTAAAGGTATTTTAAGTTATTGGCAATGTGCTTTGAGAAGATCTTGTTTTTTAGTTAACACTGGCTTGTGCAGATGACAGTACAAACATATCATGCCTCCATGTTCTTGCGTTTGAGTGAGCTACTGATCTTCAAGAAAGCTCTGGGAAGCATCTCAGGAATCAAAACATCTGAATAAATATTGTACAGTTGACTCAGATACCTGACTTATTTCTGGTTAATAAATTCAATATTCAACGTAACTTTGAATAGGAAAGAACTTTCCTGGAGATAAGACTAGCAGGAATGATAGTTTTACCACTCTGAATGCCCTCTGAATACTCTTCAACTTGTTGGAGTTCAGCACCGAACAAGAAATTAGAAGTAAGGATTTCTTGTCTCCACATATTCACACTATTTAAGTACGCACCATAATCTTCCCAAAACAGTGCTGTATTTCAACACCCATTTGAACAAACTACTAACCCCAGCTATGTAAAAGTTTAGGATAAAAACAAGTGACAGTGATTTTGTGTTTTCAAAGAGAAGGATGGGCTAGAGAAACCTGAAGAACTGTACTCAATTTACTGTTTTGCCCAACAATACACCTAACTGCTCTAAACACAGGAAAAGCAGAAATGGCACATCCACTGCATTGATTCCTAGGAAATCTTAATATCTGAATTCTGTCTAAATATGCCAAAGACCTCAATGATGGGTATTTAGGAGTATGTTGCCAGATAAGAATGACCTAAAGAGAAGATACTTTGAAGACTGGGGGATCATCTTTCATATAGTTATGAGTGTATATATATCTAAATAAGTAAAAATGGTGTTTTCTGAATAAGTGTGTATCCAGCCCTGACAATTAAAGGATAAAGCCTCATGAAAGAGCCAACATTTTCATTAAAAAACACTTAAGAATCTTTCAGCAGAGACAGAAAACAAAACTAACAAATAGAATCAATTTAGATAGGAATGACAAATGATGGATTGTCTAACTCTAGTAGAAAACATCTCCAGTGATGGGACTCTGACAGCTTTCTATAGCAGAAGCCAGTAACATCCTCAAAATAATTGATGGAAAACCTAATTTCCTATGAGTTTGTAGCAAGTTTTCCAGTCATTTGAAATTGCTTCTATGGAAAACAGGCAACCTGCCTATCAACAGAGCTTCACCACTGTTAGATCAGTGCACATGACTGTTTCCCAGCAGTGATTAGGAGAAGGAGGACTGTGAACATTTGCCAGCACAGTTGAGTGAGTTTATTTATTGATTTAGAAGAAGAAACTAGGATTCTTTCAACTGTCAGTTGCATGGAAATCCATGAATAATAGTCACTCTTAGAAGGAATTTTATTTTCTCTTTCAGTAATACACTGCCTTGAAACTAAAAGTTAAAACAGACTCTTAAGATTTTTTTTCTGTCCATCAGATATGGGTTTTCCTTGAAAAGCCACAGACTAAACCCCCAACCCCAATGCCTCCTGGCAGTTATTCCAATCAGGCATTTTATTCCTTATTGATGCAATACACAGACATCTGTTAACAATACAGACCCTGACCAACAGCAGAAGCTGCCTGAGCCAATTTCTTTGCTCTGTTCCAGAAAATTTACATGACATTTGGTCTCCTCTCATAGACTCTCACAACTGTGAGCCAGCCATCCCTGAGAGAGGCTTCCAAACTTCAAACTGGGAACATCCAACAGTGGCAACAAACGAAAGCAAAGGGCTGAAATTAACTTTTTAATGTGTTACACAAGCTTTGCCCCTAAGGAATCATTAGAGACCTCTTCAGCAATCAGTCCTCTCGTTCACATTTATACTAACTAGTTCACTGAAAAAATGGATCATGAAAGAAAGATGGTAAGAGACAACTTTGAAGTTGTGTTTCTATGACTTCTTGAAAACAGAGGAACAAAATAAATTTGAAATGAGAAGATCCTTCATAAGATGTTCAGCAGAACAAAAGGAAAATCTGGGGGAGGTTTATTCTGTGTCAGACTGAACTACTTACTTTATTAGCACTTGTCTTCCAGAGAATTTTTGCCCAAGATTCATTACTGTTCACCACTTCGTGTGTTAGTAAGTTGACAACTGCTGAAAGTAAGCCCTGCATTATGATATTGTTGATGGTGGCTCTTAGAAGGCTTTCATGGAAAGATATCTGGTTAGTAGTTTATATGTGGGATTTCTGTCAGAATTAAAATTGTCAACCTGTGCTTTTGAGATAACTATAATCTGCTTAAACAGATCAATTATCTTTCATTGATGTATTTCACAGAATCACAGAATGGTCTGGGTTAGAAGGGTCCTTAATGATCATCTTGTTCCATCCCCTGTCATGGACAGGGACACCTTCCATATGTCCAGAATAGACCAGGCTGCTCAGAGTCCCATCCAACCTGGCCGTGAACACTTCCAGGGATGGGGCTGCCACAGCTTCTCTGGACAGTCTGTGCCAGAGCCTCACCATACTCACAGGAAAGAATTTTTCCCTAATATTTAGCTATAAGCCTCAAAGTTTACAGTAAAACCAACATAAATATTTGCAATATGCTCCAAAAATAAAATGGGTTTGGTCTCAATAGCTTGTTCTGTTAAGAAATAAGATTCAAATTCCAAAATACATGTTTGCTCTGCACGATTCCTTTGAAGTAGCAATTAGGCAGGAGCAGCTGAAGTATGTTTCTGAGCTTTCCCTGAACTAGGTCTGACAGAATTTGCTCTTAGTCATGCAGTATTTGAAAACTTTCTCTTTCAGGAGGTTACAAATAAGGTCAGCCAAGACAGATTTTTTTACATTTTAAATTAAATCTACGCTACTTGCGTATTTTCTTTCTGAATCAGGTCTCTAGTGGTTTCAGTGAATGTTTTCTTTATTTAGTATTTAGGTGAAATATCCTTGACCATCTGGCATGTTCAGTGCTATAAAATACCATGCTAACTGAAATGAAAATAACTAAAACGGACAGAACTGAACTTAAATGCACAGAAAGTCTGTACTAAAGTACACCTTTGTACTAAGTACATTCTACTAAGCCCAAGCATCTCTACACAGATTTCTTTCTAGGCAATAACAAAAGAATCACACCTTCATAAGAACCGTCTCATTACATTTCTCCTGCTGATTTTTGGGCATCTTTGGTACTTATAAAAGCATTCACTTTTATATTTAAAGTCATTATTCTTCTTCATATAGATGACAGTGTCTCTATTTCTTCCACCTACTAAATGTAATACAATGGACTTCCCTCTCTATTCATACTACATATTCATCTCCCTCTTCAAAACCCAAAAGCCCACACCAGATCATGTCTTCATTCCATGAACAGAAGCCTTTTCTTTATTATTCTACTTTTCAGGATAACCTAGAAAACTTAACTCTTATCAGATTAGTCTGATCAAAAGGCAGCAAGAGTGCTGGACAGTCTGTGCTTACAACAGAAATGCAGGGAAAAAAGAGCTGAAAACGCTGAAGTTCTTTTAAACTACAGGTATTTATCCCCCAACATTTAAAGTATCCACCAGGAAGGTATCAAGAGCAACTGTCCTGACTCCAGGCTTAAGGATCTTCCCCCCAAGTAACAGAAAAGTTGGAGTTACAACACATCATCCAAAAAGAATATGAAATTACTCTGTAAAATCTTCATTCATGAAGTCCTTTATTAAGCCAACGTATAAGCGTTTCTACTTAAAGAGAGCTTCTGCTTGCAGTGGTTTAAATGATGGTGCCCACAGGTGAAATAAATCCAAAGAGCAGCAGTGGTAGCTGTAATTGCTCCATGTAAAATACAGACATTTTTCATTAAAAGAATCAAAGACAATGTGTAAATATGCACCATGCAAATATATTAAGTTACTATCATGGGTCAAAAAATGATAAAAACAATCTTTGCCAAAACCTCTGCACTCCCCAAAACATTATAAATCATACTAAGCCTTGCTCATCAGTGCTTTTTAATTACAACAGTACTCTGAACAAACCCTTGCATGTGAAGAATAGGAAATGGTGGTTTTAAATTGTAATCTGCTGGCAGTGACAGTGACAGACTACTGTTTGGACTCTCTCTAAGGAAAATGAACAGTGTTTCAAAGAACAAGACAGAAACAGAGAGAAAGAAGAAGGTAAAAGTGGCCTTTAACAAAAAGGCCATTTGCAGAACTGGGAAAAAAGATCCTGTAATCAACAAGAAATCAATTTTCCAGCTGTTCCCGTCTAAGGAAATCCATCCAAGGGAAAAAAAATAAGGCCATTACCACAACAGCTAAAATTTTTATTTTTACACTGTTTCTTTTCCTCATCATTCTCCTGAATTAATACTTAGACCACTACTTTATTCCAGAACACTGGATGAGCATATACCTTTTAGATAGAAACTATCAAATAAAAAAAAAAAGTTTGTGCAGAGATGAACTTGAAGGAGAAAACACAAAACAACATAAGTGCATTGCAATGAACTTCTTTTGGCAAATTAGAACTGTAAAGGGAAGGAAGAGCCTTTTGTTACACGGTAATAACATCCCCCCTCATTTAATCAACAGGGAATATGGGGCAATCAAAACAAATATGGGTAGCTACAATCATAACTCTGAGTGCCCACATCAAGGATATTAGCAGCAAACACACAGAGACTGTAAGCTCTTATTTCGGAGATTTTCATCTGTTTTCATCATGAAGGAATGAGTGCATTTCCAACCAGAACAAATAAGGTTTTAGAATGAGAGATGCAGGAGCGGATTGTTTTTCATGCACCTCCAGAAGTCCCTGAGGAGTTGCTAATGAATATAGACAGCAATGTTTAAACCAAATTACTATCAGACCAAAACAAGTC